AAAAAAAAAATGAGTACGTTCACTCGGTTGCTTACACTAGCTTAGTTACCGGCGACAGCACGACGTTTCTTCTGGCGAATGGCGCGGAACTCGTCCTGGATCTCCTCGTTCGTCTTGCCCGACGTTTCGGGCAGCAGCAAGAACACGAACACGAATGAGATCGCCAACAGCACCACGAACGGAACGTATGCCAGGTCATCGAGAGCGCTCGAAATGTACGGGTAACCAACACCAACGATCAGGTTGGCCGTCCAAGCAACCATCACACCGATCGACGTCACAGTAGCACGGGCGTAGTCGGGGAAGATGTCGGCAATGACCACGTACATCAGCGGACCGAGACTCACACCGAACGAACCAACGTACGTCGCAATGAACAGAATCGACAGAGCCGACCAACTGAACGAGAGTGACAGCGTCACGCCGATGGCACTGATGAACATACCGGCTAGGCCGCAAAGCAACATACGGCGGTTACCGAAGCGAGCAGCAAAGAAGCCCGACACGAGCGTTGGCAGCATGTTGACAATGTCAATGATAACAGTGCTGACACGAGCGTTACTCAATCCAGCCTGGCTGAACAGGTCCGACGAGTAGTAGAACACCGTGTTGATACCGGTAATCTTCTGCATACAAGCAACGCCAATGGCGATGATGAACTGGCGACGCAGAGCGGGGGCAATAAGCTCAGAGAACGGTACACCTTTGCCGCTGCGAATAACCTCGTTGCCAGTCTCACTCCACGCGCTCGATTGCATTTCCATATCGTGCTTGCGCTTGGACTCGATCCACTCCAGAGCCACGGGAACATTTTCGGCTCCAAACAGGCGAGTGAGAACGGCTTCGGCATCATTACGACGGCCCTTCAGCAGCAGCCACACTGGCGATTCGACCATCAGGAACGGCGACATGCTGAGGAAAATAGCCGCAAGTACTATCGGGAACGCAGCAATATATCGCCAACCATTTTCAAAATCCATGTAGAAAAACGTCGTCGCGACTAACAAAATACCAACAGTGATACCACTGTGGAGAACGGCACCAAGTAGCGAACGAAGGTGTGGGGGTGAGATCTCGTTGATGTAGCCGCCGACATTGCCCGTCGTGGCACCCGAGGCGATACCAGCAAGAAGACGACCGACCGCAAAAACCCACAAGTTCGACACTACAGCCATGATAATGGCACCAGCAATGATGAACCCACAGTTGTAGATCAACACCTGCTTGCGACCGAATCGGTCAGCGAACTTGCCGACGAAAAAGGCACCAATCATGCCTCCAAAAATCCACGCGTTCACAACGATAGTCCACTGGAACTTGGTGTGGCCTGGGAACATGATGCACGTGCCCTCGGCAACCGGACGAGCATTGCAGTCGTCGACATTGTTGAACTTGTGCAAGTTAAGTTGCGAGGTAGACCAACCGTACTGAAGAGGCAGTACGAAGGCAAGCAGGGCGCTAGTGTACAATATGTAGGTGGGTTGGACACGCAGCCGAGCTTCCAATTCTTGCGGCTCAAGCGCCGTGGTGTGGATCTCGGGAGTTGTGACCTCCGCATAGGCGTGGTCCACGGGTGAAGCAGGCACAGACTTGTTCTCGACGGCCATTGTCAGTGGAACTGGAGGAGTTGAGCGCGAGTGTGCTGTAGCCGGCCAATTGAGGAATGAAGGATATTTCTACTCGTGCCGAAGCGCGCAAGGGGACAGGACTCCTATCAGGAGAGCGAGAGGCATCGATCAGAGCATCCTGGTTGAACAACCGGAAGCTGAAGGAGCCGGCAAGTCTTGCGTCGGTCGTTGAGTCTCCGATTGTGAGTGCAGAACGAGGGCGTCAGCGTGGAATGCATCAAGGGCGAGTGGGTGAAGCTGAGGGACAGTACATCAGGCGGACGGCATCACCGACATGTTCCACAACATCATGACAATGTCATCGGGTGAGACTTGCTAGACTAAGTTTAGGAGACAATTCTTTTAGTGGGGGCAAAAGTGACGGTGACGGCCATACTTCCAGGGGATGCTATGGCTCATTGAGTGCAGAAACCATGGAGGCCATTGCATGTACCATTCAATGGTAAACCATTACGGTTATCTTGCGCACGAAAATCTGAGCGAGTACACTCCGGTGCAGCTAACAAAATAGACGGGCGCTCCCGGGTAGAAAGGCGGTGATCGGTCCGTTAATCCATTTGAGTTAATTCATAAATTTAAAAAAAAAGTTGCGATGGTACATGTTAGTCGAAGTAGAACGTCTGAATTCGACTAACAAGCGTGTTTGGCAGATTTCTTCTTTAAAAAAGATACATATATAAAATCTCTGGGGTACACGCATTGAAAAAGAGAAGTACTTAACCTTGTCAATACATGTACCAGAAATTTTCTAAATCTCTAAAAAAAAGAAGAAGAAGAAGAAAGTCCTTAATTAAATTGCACATCAAATGATTATGGGAGTTGTTTTGGCCTTTCTACGTAGTTCAGAAACAGAACGAAGCAGACTGCGCTGTCGTTAGATATGTACTTTAAGTGCACACGATCGGGAAGGAATGTCATTTTCCTCCAGGAGGAGTGCTTTTGCTCCTGGATAAACGTCCAGCTCAAAAAGGCTCTAAAAAAAGAAGCTTTCTAGCTTGTGTACGTATTATTTTTAAAGTTTTTCAAGAGCCAAAGCGTATTATTTTAAAAGTTGAATTGAAGACTTTGCAATGGCCTCAATCAACGTGAGCACGGCCACCTCGTGCAAATCAGGCTAAAATCCTCGTCGCATTGCTGTCGCGCCGGCTCACTCCTTCAATTCAGAGCTTTCGGAACTATGAGAGGCATGCTTTGAGTCGTCTGCATAACTAGCTCATACCGGGAGGAACTAGGAAACAGTCAATTTTGGGACCCCAGGCGCAGGGAATGCATTTCAATCTGGCCTCCGTGCCCGCTTAGGAGATTCAACCCATGGATTTCGCTGCTGCCGTGTACATCCGTATA